CTCTGCCTCCTGAGTGCTGGGATTAAAGGCGTGAGCCACCAACGCCCGGCTATGTGTATTTTGCTTGAGTATTTGCATCATGTGTGCGCCTGATACCCTCAGAGGTCAGTAAAGGACATCAGAGTTGGGAGGTTGTCAGACATTATGTGGGTGTTGGGAACTGAACCCAGGTCCTCTCAGAGCAATGAGTGCTCCTAAGAGCTGGGCCATGTCTCCAACCCCACTCCTTGTGAAGTTTTAAAATATTAACACCTGGGGGTCATTTGGAGTTCTTCCTTGTACTTTCTGAAAGCTAGTGATATTGAGATGTAGGCCCACTATGAGGCACAAATTAGCCTTAAACTCCTGCCAATCATCCTGCCTCAGCCTTCTGAATGCTGGGATGTCAGCTGTGTAGCCCCACACCTAGATAACTGTTTGGTTATGGGGCATTTTGAAGTGTCTCACGATCTTTAAGACTTCATTGTAAATACCTATGCAGAGTTCACAGATGGGGTGTGGGGAAATTCCCTCCTTAGCTATAGCTGTGTAATATCCAAGGTGGAACCATGGGGTAACTCACTCCCCAGGTTTTTGCAGCATGGGATGTTAGGCCATCCTCAAAGAGAAGTCTTTGTACCTTCTAGCGGTGGGTGGTGGAAGGACTCCACCACAGCCTCTGTGGCGACAGCTGCACTTTGTTAACTTAAATGCACACATGGCCTAAGACCAACAATTCCCCAGATGAAACCTTCCATGGAGATCGCTCTGCAGTGATCTCCAGGGAGAGTTAATGCATGCACAGGACTAAGCTCAACACCCAGCACTCACAGGAAGAACCAGGTGTATGGCTCAGGATCGAGATCCCAGCATGGAAAAATGGAGACAGGCTGACATGGTAGCTAACCTAGCTGATTTGATGAGTTTCAGGCCCATGAGAGATCCTGTCTCAAAAATGAGGTGGATAGCTCCCAATAAATAACACCCAGGGTGGCACACACACACACACACACACACACACACACACACACACACGGCAGCAGGAAGACAGAGACCACCATGTGTATCTGAGGGTTTTGTGGGGCCAGAGATGGAAATGGGAAGGAGGAAGGGTGCTGCAGTAAGGGGCCCAGCCAGGTGGATCAGCTTCCAGAGAAGAGGAGGGCACAGAAGGGTGGCTGTCCAACCTCTGCTTCCCACACTCCAACTTCTCCTAGGCGATGTGGTCTGTCACCTGGCCAGAAAAACCCTGAGGCTGCAAGTTCTGTTAGGTTGTCCAACTGGACAACTGGGGACTAGTGGGAAACTGTTGATTTAAGAAAAAATAAAATGTTCTGGGCTCCACCTTCAGCACTGCAAACCAGCCAACCTAAATCAAATAAAGTAAGTGAGAGAGTCATTCACTGTCTCTGCCCTATGGTAGAGGCTTTCCCCGCCACCTACACACACAACCACAGAGTCCTGTCAGTACCCTCTAGTTCCTCCAGTGCCCAGTGTGGTTCTCTCCCCTGTACTCCTAGGACAACTGCCTATGTGGGAACAGGTGGTGAGACTCTCTCAGCCATGCAGGTTCTCACAGGAGGGCACTGTGAGGACAGGGGTCCTGCTCGGGAGAGGGCAGAGCTTTGGGGCCAGCCTCCATCTACCCTCAAGTGTCTGCTGAGTGCCTGCTGCCCACTAGGCTCTGGCTCTGGATGCCAAGGGTGCAGCAGGGAATAGTGGGAGGTGCACCTTGGAGCTGTGAAGGCAGGAGAATTTCTCTCTTTCTCTCTCTCTCATACGCATGCACGCACACACGCATGCACGCACGCGCGCGTGCGCGCGCGCACACACACACACACACACACACACACACACACACACACACACGAACATGCGCACATCTGTGTGCACAGGGCATGAGTAGGCAATCAAATGACACCACTGGGTAGTGCTTCTCTGATTTTGAACTCTGACCCAGCAGGCACACACACTTCTAAGAACAAATCCCCAGGGTTGAGTCTTTAGCAATGGGAAGATGTGGCATGGGCATCCTCACTTGCAACTGAGAAGTCTTTCTTCCATAGTGCTTGCTGACCAAAAAGCAAGGCATGCAAGCACTCTTGGATGGAGCCATACTGCCCACCTCCTCAGCCCCTCTGCTGATGTTTGTAGTAAGTGTATAGAACTCCAGAGCCTGAGCATCCAGCCATTTCACTAATCTCTTCTTGAGGTCAGGAATATTATGCTTTTACCAAGCCACACTAGACACCAGGTCTGCTGGTTCATTCATTTAGTCTCAGCATGTTGGAGATGGAGTTCAAGGCCAGCTTGGGGTATATGAGAATATATTTCAAAAACCATAAACCAAGCCAAATCTGGTGGTATAGGCCTGGTGTCTCAGATCTTCAAATAGGCAAGAGGCAGTAGGATGACAAGCCTCCCGAGTGCCTAGCTTATAGAGTAGGTTCAAGGCCAGCCTGGGTAACTGAGTGAAAACCTGTCTCAAAATAAGAAGTGAAAAGGGACATGGCCCAGTGGTAGATTTCCTGTCTTGAATCCTCCAGTGAGGGACTGGGGACATGGCCCCATGGTAATGCCCCTTCCTAGAATCCCCCAGTGTGTTTGGGGGGGCTGTGGCCCAGTGGTAGAGCACCTGCCTGGCATGTTGGAGGCCCTGTGTTCCCTCCCCAACACTGCAAAACAAAAGCCTAGCAATGAGAGATGTTCCTGGTCATACCACCAGGTGCCAGAAACCCAACCTTAAGGCAGCTTTAAACCCTGTGGCTCTTGTTTCTGAAAAGGGAGCGAGCTGAGACCATGGTTGGGGAGAAAGTGTTTGATGCACAAGCAGGAGGACCAGCATTTGAGCTCCAGCACCAATGGAAAAGCCAGGCATGGTGGCACACATCTGTAACCCCAGCACTGGAAGGAAGACCGGAGGGTCCCTGAGCTTAGTGATCTGTGCCCTCCAGTTCAGAGAAAGACCCTGCTTCAAAAAACAAACAAACAAAAAACAACAAAAAAGGTGGATGGAAGACATCTGATATCTACTTGTGGCTTTTACATGCACACCAACACCACACACACACACACACACACACACACACATGAAAACAAAGAACCCTCCTGTTAGCCAGGTAGGACCCTGAGTATGTGCTGGGAATGTCGGGTTGGGGACTCCAGATGGGCAGGAGAGCTATCTGAGCCTGTGGGACTGTGAATAGCTTTTGTCTCTGTATGTTTATCTAAGTGTATTTTTTAGTTTTCCTAAATTAATTTGTATTCATTCTGTAATAAATAATTAAAAGACACATTTGCATAAGCCCAGAAAGGTATGCAAACAAACGTAAACAGGAGTTATTTATATCTGGGTGGTGGGATGTGATGATTTTTTTTAAATATGGGTCATTAAAACCATTACTTCTTTCTTTTGTTGCATGCTGGTTCAATGGTTAGATTTGACACATGGTCTCTCTGTGGCCCAGGCTGGCCTAGGACTCACTATGTAGCTCAGGGTGGCTTGTGTGGTCACCCTCCTGGGATCATAGGTGCAGAGCACCACGCCAAGCCAACATTGCATTTCTTGCTCCTGCCATCTGGAAGGCCTAGCCCCCTTGGGGCTGGATCGCAGCTTTTAGGGCAGCTTCTACAGGGGAGTGACAAATGAGAGTGTTCTGATTTCTGTGGTGCTGTTTCATCCTTTTTGTGGCAGAGGGTCTGGCCCTACTGAGCAGCACAGACAGCCCAGCAGAGACTGCAGCTGGCGGGATGTGGGTGCAGACTTGAAGCAAACCGGCATAAAGGGTGACCTATAACCTATTCAAGGAGGCAGCGGCTGGTGACGTGGACCTGGAGTAGAGATAGGCAGCCCCAGCACTGGTGGTGGCACTGAGTCTCAAGTTTCTCTGGTTCACCCATCCAGAAAGGGCCTGTCCCCTGGGGGCTTCCATTCTTCCCAGAGTCTGGCTCTCCAGGAGAGTTTTGTGGGGCCGCTGACCCCTCTGCTGAGCACTGTGAGAGTGCCCTCTTCTCTCCCCCCTGTATGAAGTGGGTACAAGGTAGTCTGCATTTGGACTTGGAGTTGACTAGATGCCTTTAAAATAGTGGCCTTCAGCCAAGTACGGTGGCTCTCAACTGTAATCCTAGCACACAGGAGATGGAAGAAAGAGTGTCACTGCAAGTTGGGGGACAACCTGGGCCACAGAGCAGGTTTGTGGTGAGCCTGAGCTATGAAAGAGTTCCAAACCAGTTGGAGATACGGAGTGAGACCCAGCTTTATCTCAAGCAACCAAGCAAGCAAGCAAGCAAACAAGCAAGCAAACCAATCAAGCAACAAATAATAAAAGCAAAACCAAACCCAAGAAACAACCAACAACAAAGTCCTCATTCGGGGAGCCCTGTGTCTGATGACAGCTACAGACATTTGAAAATAGGTGGCCAGAGCACTTCTGAGCACCTGGCAGCAGTCAGGACAGCTCCACCTCAGCCTCCGGTTGAAGAAAGACCTGTTCCAAATGTCACACCGCAGAGGTAGGAGGCAGCACCCAGCAGCCCACTCGTCCACCAACACAGCCCCAGCCCCACCGCATGGGGCAGGCTGTGCACCAAACAAAGACAGCTAAAGTCACTTGCAGTCCCTACTAATTACTGCCAGTGCCAGCCTTAAACCCTCGACCCCTTGGTCCCCATCATTCATCCAGCTAGCTCCCCAGAACCGGATGAGTCCCCACTTTTCAGAAGGCATTGAGGCTTGCTGAGAGATGCTATCTGGGGCCAACAACGGGGAGGCTGAAGTGGAAGGGCCTCTCCTGGTCGTCTCAAGGCACCCTGTCCTGTGGTGTGAGGGCGTGGCAGGCACACCAGGAAAACGCACACAGCCTGCATGGAAATACATCGCAAAGGTGGGCATGACAACGACGCGAGAGAGGAGCTGGTGCGCAGGCGCCAGGAAGCCCAGCGTTAGAGGATGGGGAGGGAGGCAGAGGCTTACACCCTTTGTGCCTTGACCTAGGGGCCAACCAGGAGGGAGGCGGGCTCACCTGGATGCTGTTCTCTTGCAGGTTCAGGTAGCGGGTGTTGACAGGGATACTGGCAGGCACCTCGGCCAGCTCCCTTCGCGTGCAGATCACCCGGCTGGCCTGGTTGCTGCAGGAGCAGGCTGCTGGGCAGGAGGTTGCTGGCGGGGAGCCTCCTCCAGCGGCTGAGGTCACGGTCACACCGCCCCCACCGGCCCCCAGGGGTGGGGAGAAGAGCCACAGAAGCAGGAGAGCCCCGTGGGGCCAGGACATCCTACCAGGCAGCAGCAGGGGGCACGGGGAGCCACGGGTGTGGGCGTGCGCCATCCTCAATGTTCATACTCTGAGGGCACGCTGGGGGGCTGTGGGAGGAGAGAGGGTGTTGGTCAGTAAGCGACAGGGACTCAGGCTGTCCGGACTCACCTGCGAAACTCCACCAGAAGCCCTCACCCCTGTTCAGAACCAAAGGTATAGGAACCTGGCCTGCCTGTACTGGGTCCACTTCTCCTGGGCCATTCTGTAGAAAGGATAACTGAGGCTGAAAGAGAACATTTGGGCCCAAGGTCACTTGGCCAGTAAATGGCAAAGTCAGCTACATTTGAATTCAGGTGTTGCCAAGCCTGGGGATGCAGGGCTGCCTTCTGGGGGCTCAGGATGTCAAGGCAGGAACACTGAAAGTTCCAGGCTAGCCTGGGCTAGAAAGTGCATCCAAGGCCAGCTTGGGCAATTCAGTGAAACCTTGTTCAAATCTAAAAAGGCAGCATGTGGCTGAGTGGTGGAGTACATTCCCATTGTGCCCAAGACCCTCAATGCCATTCCCAAGGCTTTAAAAAAAATTGTAATTGTGTCTGCATTGATTTCAGTTGGACGGTTAGTATGTGGAGATGGAGGGGCAGACAGACAGACAGGCAAAAAGGCTCTGCCAGGGTGAAGCACAAAGCTGACTGACCAACTCCCATCACACCCAAGCGGGTCCCACCTCCCATCCCATCCTATACTTGTCTCCTCTCAGGTACCAGCCACAGGGGCCCAGCTCTGTATTCCCCTCTTGTCACTCCTGGGTCACTCCTCACTCCTCTCAGGCCCTATCCTGTCCTAGACTTGGAGGAGAGTTAATTTAGAGAGCACAGGAAGTGGCTGGGCTTCTGAGAGGAGGTGGGAGGCTGTGGGGCACCCTCACCCTGTGGTGGCACAGCTGGAGACCACAGCAGTGGCCCTGTGCCTCAAGATGCCAGGTGCTCTGAGGGAACATGGCCTGTGGAGGGACCTGTGCCAGCAACTGTCGCAGGATGGGGGCTAGGGAGCTGATGGCGTGGGAAGGGGTGGTAGGGACCCCCATGTCACATCTGGGGTATGGAAAATCAGCACCACAGCACCCTTCCAGCCTGTCCCCTGCTTTCCGGAGCCCCAGGGGGAGGGACTCAGGCTAACCAAATGGCACGCAGGAAGGACTGTACCTGCAGCCAGCACAGCAGGGCTCTTCCTATGCATCAGCCGCTCCCTCCTGCCTGTGGAGGGTGAAGCTGCTGGGTTGTGTGCCAGGCCAGCTCAAGGCCCACTGGGTGGCAGAGGGGGTTTGGCCTCAGGATTCACCCTCTGGCTTCCAATGTCCCCCTTCACACAGTGCAGTGTCCCCTAATGCTCACACACATATAAAGTCCCCTTGAGACAGGAAGGGGGGTCCCCATAAACACGATACCCACCCACTCACACAAATAGCAGGGACAGACACACCCTCACATACAGCCTCTCCAATCCATGGACTGCCCCCTCCCATGCAGGTGCGCATGAACACACACACACACACACACACACACACACACACACACACACACACTCCTGCAGCTTCCAAGATTTTAACCCAGATAGAAATGTGTGTGCTGCTGTGTGTTTGAGCAAGTGTGTGAGGGCAGGAAATGGAGTCAGAGACAGAGATGGAGACAGAGAGACAGAGATGGTGAGAGGCATGGAGACAGAGCAGAGATAGAAAAAAAAAAAGACAAAGGCAAAAACCAGGACAGAGACCATGACAGAGACTGTGGCAGAGAGACAGACACAGAGAAATAGACAAAAAGAGAGACGGAGATGGAGAGATGGGCAAAGAGGCGGCGACAGGAGGACAGAAGCATAGACTGAGCTGAGACAGCCGGATACAGAGACCGAGGCCCCCCTGCCTCAGGGCTGGCCACCAGGCCCTGCCCTGCACCAGCCTGTCTCAGCAGGGGCTGTGGGGTCTTTGTTCCCACACATGTGGCCAGTGAGTGAGCTTTCTCCTCAGTCTACCCTGGGTCCACTGTTCCCACTTCCTGAGACTCTGGCTGTGACCAGGATCTGGTGCCGTGATACTGAGCCCACCATCCCCCAGGCCAGCACCCGGGTCTCCTCCCCCACCAAGACTGCCAGTGCACACCACATCAAGGCTTCTGCAGCAGCTCCCCTCCTTCCCCTCCCGCCTCTCCTGCCACCATCTCCTTGTCCTTGCCTCCCCGCTCCCAGAGCATACACACTGAGGAACACTCACCCTGGTGGCTTGGCTTCCGATGGCCTTCTCTCTGTGCCCCAGGCCCCCCCCTCTGCATGTCTGCAGTTGCCCCAAGGCCCTGCCACCCCAGCTTCCTACTGCTTCCCGTTGAGCTTGTGTTGGGGGGGGCGCAGGGGCTTCTTGGGTCTCCCTGCACCCCCCCCTTGGTCTGTTGCCCTTCCCACCCTCTAGGGGAGCCCGGCCTTCTGCTCTTGGCCACCACACAAGCAAGCCCAAGCCTCCTCCGCTCCTGTGCCCCCCCACTTTAGTGCCCCCAACACCAGCTTCCTTTCTCTCCACTCGCAGACCCAGCTTCTGCCCCTCTCCCAGCTCCCCAACTCTGTCTTGCCTCCCTGAGGACCACCAGACCCCTTCTCTGTCTGTACTCCTCCTCCACTGTCCCTGTCACCCTGTCACTGCTGGAAGCCTGGCTCAGTCAGGTTCCTACTGTCTGTCTGTCTATCCTGGGGCCTGCCTCATCCCTCTCCCCGCTCTGCCTCTCTCCCTTTCTC